TAAGCCTCAGCATCGCACTGTGTCCGAGAGGCCCGTGTTTCTTCACACTTGAATTCTCGGAGGCCTTGGTTTGATTTGCAGCGTGGGGTGGGCGTCCGTGATGGACGCCTCTCTGTATAGACTGGAGAGACACGGTCTCTGTGGATGTCAGCGATCTTTTGCCAGCACAGTATGGATTAATAGGATACATCTGTGGGCTTTGGAAAATAGTTGGCTTATACTCACTCATACGGAAATGCAGGAAATAAAGAAATGTTGCATTGCCTGTATCTCAAAGAACAAACAGAGCTAATTAAATAATTGGTAAATAGGGAACACAGAGCCCGACACATGTTTGAGATGACACACATGATCCTGTAAAAAATGACTGTAAGCAATACTAATGCCCTAAGAATTGGGTCCAAGCACTAACACATGGACATCACATTTCCCCAAGTTTTCCCAGTGAAAAGTCGCACAGGCTGGGCGGCCTTCCCATAACAGGGCACTGGTATCTTAGGAAACTGCTTTTGCAGGTCGGAGGGAGACAGCCAGCCCATCTCTGTTTCATGCTGTAGTGTGTCTGTTTCCCTGGTGGTCAGTGATGGTCCAGAGCCGGTGATGAGTGTGGAGTGTGGTGTAAGCTCTGGAACCATCAGCAGGGCATCTCTGGAACCAGCCTTTGCATCTCAAAATTGAAGATGCCCGTTGAGTCAGGAGGAGCTTGTAATTTGTTTGGCTTCTGGGGGGAGTGACCCTTAGTAGTGGTTTATTTTTCTTTTCTTTTTTTTTTTCAATGTCCACTATCACTTTTCGATAGGAGCTCAGGTGTCGCTGTCAGGTAAGCAATGGCCTGCTAACAATTACTGCTGACCTTCGCCCGTCAGTTAACCCACCAGCCACTCCTCGCTCTTGGGAAGACAGGTGAGGCTGTCTGCTCCCAGAAAGACTCTCAGCCTCAGAAATCCAACCCAACACAGGGCTGCTCTGAGTAAGAATGAACTGGATGGCTGAGTGTTTGGGGTCTCACTTTTTGAGAAGCCATTAGCAAGGACAGTGCATAGTTTTACTGGGATTTCTTCAGGGACACATTCATCGATGGCTTTTGTAGAGAACTGAAGAGTGAAATATCTTATGACATGCTGTCTGCTACTCCCTTGCCAGCAAGCTGTGGGAGCTTGCCTTGTGCATTTTTGAATTGGGATGGTTCTTCAAGCATCCTGGAGTTGTATGACATTGATACCTAGGAGACAACCTTGATACATAGACGTTCAACAGGAGTGGCCCTGGGCAAGGAGCGTCTTAGGTCAAGCGTTTCAGCAGTTGTCAACACAAGAGGCCTTTAGCTTTAATCCCCGAAGTTCCTGGGAAGTCATGCTACCGGGCGTTAGCTGAAACGCAGTCCAGTCCAGCGACTCTTCATCCGATCATGGCTGTTGAGGAGGAAGTGTAGGCGTTAGAGCCCAGCGGCAGAGACTAGCAAGGAGCCCTGGTGGTACACCCAGTGTCGTCTCAGCCGCTACCCAGAAGGTTGGCGGTTAGAGCCCACCCAGCGCCTCTGCAGGCAAAAGATCTGTGATTGACTCCAGTACAGGTGACAGTCAAGGGAACCCTCTTGGGAAGTTCTACTCTGCCACAAGGGGTCACTTTGGTCAACGTTGACTGCATGTAACTAGCAAGAGCAAGGTAGAAGAGGACTGTGTAGAGGCCAGTAGTCACACGCATTTTTCTCCCTCCTCTCCCCCACCCAACACCCTTCCTTGCCCCCACAGTGATATCCAGTAGCCCAAAGGACCCAGAGAACCCCCTCCAGGAGCTCTCCATTGGAAGAGACCATCTGCATAAATTCTCAGGGTGTGACCCCCCCTGCGGTTTGGGGCTGCCTTCTCACATGCACACCCCTCCCCCAGTGGGAATTGGGCATATAACTAACATAATAGTTATAATAACTGTTATTGTTTTATTAGACTTTAACCGGCTGGCCCACTAATGCCTGGCGTTTCACATGTTTTTAAACCTCAAGCCAAACAGTGTTGAAGGAACAGGACTCCCAAGATTGATTGAACACAACATATGCTAAAGATTACTCTGGAATACAGCTATCTGGTTCACGAATTAATCCGGTTTACAAGTTTCACTTCTCATGACATATTTGTCTGCCATGTGATGCATTTCGGTATGTGGCTTTTCTAGTAGCAATGTGGCCTTTCCCCTCGAGGACTTGGTTTCTCAGTAATTGCACCGTTACAGTCGTCGGATAGCAGTCGCTTTATATTTTACAAGAGTCCCGCGCCTGCACACACAGCTGGATGAGGAGGGGGCACAGGGAGCAGGAGAGGATGGAACTTCTGAGGGCTTCAGCAGCAGCACCAGTGCCGCCGGGGTGCAGAGAGTGCCAGTGGAGAAGACATGAGTGGGACTCGGGTTTTCCCGACCATTTTTGGCACGTGGTCACTCAGTCCAACTCCCTCTCTCCCCTCCCCCCACCCCAAATTCCTACCAGAAAAATCTTCCTGCTAACAATGAGCCGCCGCATGGTAGCTTCTACTGGGGGGTTTGTTTTAAGGCTGTCCTTGGCAAGATTATTGGTGGAAAGGCCCCCTTTTAAAAATACCTTTATTGACCAGTTTATTCTGTTGTGTGGTAGCCCATGAGTTGCTCAGACTGCGTTCAGAAAATGCTCCACACGAAACAGCCTCTTCTCACTACTAGAAGTGCACTTCTTGGTCCTGACTTGTTTCCAGGGTCTTCCCTTGTGGAGGGTGGTGGGGGGTGGGTTATGGATGTGCTAGAGAGGGGCAACACGGTTCCAAATCCTGACCATCGGTCAGTTGGTGGTCCCCAAGCACCACCTTTCCTTTTGTTTAGGGTAGGGTGTGTCCTAACACTGGATGTGGCATTTCCTGGTAGCAGAGACTGAGGCAGAGGGTGGTCTACCATGTAGCTAAAGACACGCACCCCAGCTTCCTGCTCCATCTTCCAGCCTGGCAGAGCACCTGTGTTCCAGCCATCCGAGTGATAATTGGGTGGCTGGCTATGTCAAATCCTCCTACAAAATTACAGTTCCTCTTTAATAATTGCTCATCTCCCATTCATATTTATGTTGCGGCTCCACTTAGAGCCTGGTTATTTTTCTCTTGAGCAAGAGAAATTGATTCAAGCAAAATAGCCAAAGACATCAATCCAGTTTTTACCAAATAAAGGGAATAGTTCTCTCTCTCTCTCTCTCTCTCTCTCTCTTTCTTTCTGTTATCTGAATGTTTTTGTAATATGTACAAGGTGAGGAAATTGTGCTTAGAACAGTAATTCAATCTTGTTACAGTAAAGCCCTAAAGGTGAATTGGATAAGCATCACATTTAAGGACCAGTGTGTTTTACTTAAAAAAAAAAGAAGAAGAAGAAGACCCAGAGCATTGGGGAAATGAGACCATTTTAAAATCAAAAAATAAAAAAGATATTTACTTCCTGGTTATTTATACTGTTCGATATGCCTCTCATAGAAGTCAAAAGAGAAATCTTTTAGAAAAAGACCCGTGTAGCAGAACATGATCAGGGAATCTTGAACATGTAGCTTCTCCCTCATTTCCTGGAAGAGAACAAAAGACATTCCTAATGCAAAGGCAAGCTGGGCCCCTGAACCCACTTTGAAATTCAAGCCCTTGGGTTTGTGCTGGACTGTTGCTGGGTAAACCGGCTTCCTGGGCAGTGGGTTGGGAAAGAGTAGCCTTACCATGAGTAGCTTCCGTGAGCAGGCTTGGCAGTACTTGGGAACATTTTCATGGCAACATTGGGTAAGAAAGGGATGCAATTTTTTTTTTTCTTACTGCCACTTCTTGCCAATTCTTACTGCCCTCCGTAGAAAGGGCATTGATCCGGAAGTGGATGGGAAGGAAAGGCTTGGGGCTCTGGAATGTTGTTAAAGGAATAGGGATGACCGGTCTTGTCCTTCTGGTAGTATAATCTTATTTCACCCTTCCTGCAATACTTCTGTTGATATTTGATCACCGTGCCTTGTATCTTTCCAAAGTGTAATTTCATTGAAGTGTGACTACTGTATTTAGTTGATGTTTGAGATCATCTTGTTTGGTTCCATGAAGATGGGTGGGGGGGTTGGGGGAGGTAATATATTGCAATTAAGAGATCATGGAATTTCCCCCACAAGCTTTTTGAAGCTGACTTTTGCTTATCTAATTGTATAATCACTGTTTTGAAGTTGCGCAGAGGAAGACTCAATCTTTGGAAAACGACTTTCTTGGCCAATTCAGTCTGTTAGTGAAATGGTCTTGCCCTCTTTGGCACAGGCTCCATATTACGTAATATGGCCTTTTCCAACGTGGCTCTGGGTTTTAATTACAGACCGATCTATTTTTCAACTAAAGCAATTGCTAACCACAAGGTTGGTGATTCAAGCCCACCAGCTGCTCTGTGGGAGAAAGATGAGGCTGTCTGCTTTTGTCAGGCATCACAGACTCAAAAACCTTCTAGGGGCGTGCTCGGGGTCAGAGCTGACTCGGTGGAAGCGTGTGTGTTTGGGGGATGTAGTACTGGAGCGGCAACACTGATTCTAGAAAAGAAGAGAGTGAGAGAGAAAATTCCCCTAATTACCGTGGAAATGCATGGTAGAGGAAGAGGGGCAGCTGGGAAGATGCTAGTTGTCTATATTTTCAAAATTTTAATTTTCTCCTTAGAAAATCTGTAGTTTTTAAAGAACTCCTAATGCAATCTCAGTTAACTTGTCTTCCATTAGCTCTTTTTCATACTATGGTATGCGCCGGTTCCTTCCACTTGCCCAGCATCAGATTGCCCATACACGGAATTTTCCTTCACAGATCATCTTAAGCACCATCAGCCAATGTGTTTTTTGCTTTTGCTGTGGTAAAAATGTACTTAACAAAACACTTACCAATGCAACAAATTTGTGCATGTGATTTCATACAATTTTATAAATGTGTTATTATAAATGTTTTTTTATATTTTTATTATTTGATATTATTTGATCAATGTGTGGTTACACCGTATTTGTAAATGTGTGCTATGACAAAGTATAAGGCAGTTTTATCGAGTGACTGTGCTCTTTTAGATCATTTTGTTTTAATCATTAAAAAAATGAATAGGGGTGTTGGATTTGTCACCTGGCTAAAGCTTGTACCAAAAGGTTTCACCAATGGATGTGTCCAGCTTAGAACGTGTGTGAAAATCGCAAGCATATTTCCCATGGGCTCCGGTCCCCAATGGGGAATTTACTAGAGAAGATGGACGATGTGACCACCTGGCCAATGATTCCACCACTTGCTTTTGCAGACCCACCTCAACCTGTGTTTTTGACAGAAAATGTGTTCTTTGGGGTCACAGCTAGAGCTGGCAGACGTTGGGAGCTGTGTTTGCACAGTCAAGTTTTGTTTGGGTTAATCCACTCATTGAAGATACCACCCCCCCTTAAAAAATTGTTTTTTCTCACCAAGGGCTCAATAGAAAGGAAATGTCTAGAAAAGAACCAGGGCAATCTATGGACGGATATGTCTGGTACAACTGATGTATGGATTGCAGTAAGAGTTGTGAGAGCCCCCCAATAAAATGATCTTTTAATAATAAAAGAAAAAAAATTTTGGTAGTGACACACTTTTTCCGCCCCTGGGAGTTCAGTGAGTTTTATTTAATTGCCATATCTATTTGCTGATTTTGAAGTCTCCATACGTGTACCCTAAGATGTGCCAGGCCTTGTATTGAATTGTATTGACTTCTGTGGGCACCAAGGACCTCACCTCAGAAGAAGGCAGGTGAGACCATTGTACCACTTACCGTATATACTCAAGTATAAGCCCACCCAAGTATCAGCTGAGGCACCTAATTTTACCACAAAAAAACAATTAAAAATATGCTGAAAAACTTGGCTTATACAGGAGTCCATACGGTTTTTGTAAAGACTTGAATTTGGAAGACCCTGGGTACACAGAGCTGGCTCTGCATGACGCATTGCAATCCATATCATTTTGTGACCAACCCTCTGTTCATCTATTTCGTAGACGGAAGTATCAGTGTTTAAGATGAGTGAGATGATGCGTCATGACCGTATAGATGTGTTTTCTCTCTGGAATTTGGGACTTTTAGGGACATAACAGTTAAACAGGTGTTTTCCTGTGAACATAGACGTCAATATGGGTGAATGAACCTTTTTTTAAGGAATAGGTGTGGTTGAAAGTATTAAAAGTACTTTCGTTTCTAGGAAGTCCCACCTTTTTCTTGGGACTTTTGTTTTGTTTATTTTGACACCCTAAGAGGGGCACTCCATTTCCATAAATTTTAAAGGAAGTTTCAACTTATCTATTTGAAGATCATTGTCAATTATTGGGGACAATAGTTCCGTTTGTTAGAGGGGAAAAGTTTTTTAAAAAGAAAGGAAAGCCTGTTCAAGGACTCAGCACCTGAAAGAAGCCTTCCTGGCATTGGGCAGGCAGCATGGTCTTCCCGCAACCATTCACCATTCTTTGCCCGCTTGCGACATGAGGGCAGAGTCATAGCAAGCAAGACGCTTTATCTTTAAACCAGGGAGTCAGGTTTATATTTTATCTGTAAAAAATGTAACATGAATATATTTGACATCTACCTCAGCAAACAAATTAATGCTAATTAAAGATTAATGTGTTGCAATTAGCATTAAAAATGCAATTAAATTGTGAGTAAATGGACCAGGAATAGAAAATTGGGAGACGTCTCCCTGCCTGGTTTTCATCTTCTGCCTTTTGTTTCTGCAGCAAATAGAGGAAGCGGAGCAGCAGGCGGCTCCCAGACTGGAGATGCTCTGGGGAAAGCACTGGCTTCGGTGAGGAAATATTGACTTTGGACCCACACATGCCGTTGTACAAGGGTGGACTTTAATCACAAGTGGGCATTGGGAAGTTTAGGGAATGAATGGCAAATAGCTCTGGGTTGTTTTGATTTTCTGTTTTTGTCTTGGGGGGAAAATGCAAGCTTCCTCGCATCGGGATCAGTGGGGAACGGGAGGCGAGCTTGCTGTCCCTCCCAGGGGAGGGGAGGTCTCTATGCCACCTGGTCTACTCACCATGGAGTGACCGCTCCCTCAGGGGCCAGTGGCTGTTCTCAGAGTCCTCACCTATCTAGGCTTTCTGTCTTGATTTCGGAATCTCGTATTCTTCTTGCGTATCCTTTGGAAATGTGCTCACTGAAGAGCTAGGATTGGTTTCACAGAGGCCGTTGAGAAAAACCACTTGGGCCGAGGCCTTTGAAAAAGCCCAAATGACAAAGGCTCCGAGGTCCAAGGAGAGGTTGCTCAGTAATTGGCACCCAAGAAATTAACTCCTCTGCCTTACGGGCCTGCTGCCAGGAAGTGAAAATTGAACAGTTCTTGCATGTTTAGTAGTGAAAAACATGGCCCATCTTACATGTCTGAGGAAGCACACCTGGTATTTTCTTCAAAAGCCACACGTGGCCATTTATAAATGGAAATGGAAAGCCAGTGCTCTGACCAACATGCCGGTTGCTCGGTTGGCTCTGCCTTACCGTTGGGGACAGAAAGTAAGTTGGGGGTACGTTAGCATTGGGCCCCAAAGTATGTAACAGCTCTCCATTCATCCAGTTCTTCAAATGACTGGGATCCAATACCTTAATCATCGCAAAGGAGGAGTAGGGAAGATGTCTTAGAGGCGGTACTGCACCCCCCCCTTCTGTTGGGGAGGTCTTAGAGGCGGTACTGCACCCCCTTCTGTTGGGGAGGTCTTAGAGGCGGTACTGCACCCCCTTCTGTTGGGGAGGAGGGAAGTTCAGAGAGGTTCCGTGGTTTGCTTAGAGCCACGCAGCCAGAAAAGAGTAAGCGAAAGATTCAAACTGAAGCCTGCTGGTCCACCCCCCAAGCCCAGTTTTTGTTCCACTATCCCACACCACCTCAGTAATTTGCCTTTTGAAAATGTAAGTCGTTGTAAAGTTTCTTCATATTAGCGGATTGGTTGTATTTATTTCCTAAGTTGAAATTTGTATGTGAGTTGCAATTTAATAGTGTCAAAACCTAATTTGCTACTTTTGCTTAATGAATGAAGGTTGTTTTGTTTTTTCCCTCCCCCTGGTTTTCAGATCTATTCTCCAGATCATACTAACAACAGCTTTTCATCAAACCCTTCAACTCCTGTTGGCTCTCCTCCCTCACTCTCAGGTATCGTACTTGAAATACCATTCGAGTCTAGTAACAGGTTCTGAAAGTGATTTTCCCCCCTCATGCTTCCTGTTCTAGAAGGTGGAAACTCCCTCCCAAATCCCCAGACATCACATTCCTATACAGAAAATATAAGGGGAGGGAAAAGGCAGACTGCCATATGAAGGCAGAGCCATTTACATCAAAAGCGTTCCAAAAAAGGAGATGACTGGGTGTTTGTAGAGCCACAAAGGTTGTGACAAATACATTTATTCAGTGTTTCTTGGCTTTTAAGAAGGACACCCTCTGCAGACTAGGGTGCTCCCATAAAACTCCCCCGAGGGAAAACTCAATTAATTCAGTCATGGGATGGCAAAATGAAGTTGTCCAATCCCATAAAGATTTCAAGTTTCAAGAACCCCAAGGGGCAACTCTCTACCCCATCCTAGAAGGCACTGTGAATTAGAACCGACTCGGTGCCAGTGAGTTGGGTCGAGGAATGAGTTGAGTTTGAGCCAGCTCAAACGGATCATTTCCCACAGAAATCTTGAAAGGCTCTGTCATGGAGGGTCTGAGGGAAAAAACCTCCAATTTTGTGAATCAATTGTGAGGTGATTGAGCGATATAAAAGGGGACCTCTGCCTTCCAAAAAAAGATAGCAAATTAACCTGACCTGTGCCTTCAAATTGAATAACTATAATTTGTAGAATTATGCCAGCAATTTCTGTACTTTTCAGAGGTTCGTTTAAGAGGCTCCTTGCCCACCAATATAAATGCTTCCAGGAAACCCGGCCTGGTGCACGTCTCTGCTCTTTGCAAAGAGGACAGGTGGCTTTTTGGAGGTCTTTTTCTGACTACAGAACTTAACCACATCTGCATCTAATTGAAACCTGACCTTACTCTAATTTTTGGTGAAGACATTTACCCAAATGTTGCCTCCTGGACCTTCTGTTATTCCAGCATGTACCACTCGCATGCCTAGCTGGGTGCCCTGTTGGAGTGAGAGTGATTTCAAATGCCCCCAAACCTTGCAGAGATGGTGGCCATGGCTCAGGTGGGACTTCGTATCAGCCTTTTCCAAGTTGATCTTGAAATGGGGATGTCACAGCGACCAGATAGGGCCAGCTAGATCCTCACATCCCCGTGGGCAGAGACCAGGCCCAAACTGAAAGAACTAGAGATGTAGTCAGGAAGATAGAAGAGTGAAAACAACCCTTGATGTCTTTGTTCTAGAAATGGAAAGTGAAGTTTAGTATTGTGATGCTCTTCTGGGTCAGTACTACTGTGCGAGGCTCTGAACAGCTGTTCCTCGTATCCATATCCACAAGCAGAGGCGTGGGCACAGAGGCCGTGAGGCAGCATCTGGCCCAGAGAGGCAGGTGAGAAAGGAGAATGAGCAGGTAGAATTCCCGGTTCCCCACTAGAAACAGAGCAGCTCTTAATTTCACCTGTTTTATAATTTACTGGAGAGTCACCTGAGGTCTTCATGAAATTTGAGAATAGTTACCGTACTTTAGTTGGTTGCCCCGGTTTTATAGGAATGTGTGCTGAGCTCCAGCAAGGATGAGAATTGGGCTGCTCACCACAAGGTTGGTGGTTCAAACCCACCAGAGGCTCTGAGAGAGAAAGAGGTTGGCTGTTCTTGCAGAGATGAGAAGTCTGAGATAGCCCACGGAGCAGTTGCCTGCCCTATAGGGTGGCTATGAGCTAGACTTAGCTAAGTGCCAGGGAGTAGGGTGAGACTCTCCTCTTACCTGGCTGCTGCTCCTTTTCTTGGTTAATTCTGGGCAGAGAAAGTGATGATGCACAGATCTTTCCAGAAAATGCCCCAAATGATTGTAAAATCTGAGCACTGGGCTTTAGGTTAGAAGACACAAAAATAAGGCTAGAGCCTGCCACCCCCAGGGTCCTGGTCGTGCACCCTCGAATTGCTCACAATCGGGAGAAAGCACTTTTATGAAGATGCAAGTATGCAGGCGGCTTGCTCGGTTCACACTGATGGCGCTGTACAAATTCTGGCACAAAAAGCAATTGAACACAAGATTCTATTTTTATTTTGCATAAAATTATTATACTCACATCCACACCCAGAAAAGACATGAAGACTAGATGAAAGTGGTTAAAAAAAAATCTGGGGGTGAATTTATTTAGTCAGACCCTAGTTAATAGTTAATAGTTTACCTTTTTTAAGCGAGGCATTTTTTAAGTTTTTAACACTGAATGTGCCATTACCTTTCCATGTGAAATGGTGTTTACTGTGTAGGTTATGCGTGCAATAGATATCATAGCAGGAATCTTCCTTTACCTTCCAGTTTAATGACTCCGAAGAAAAATTATTTCCTTTGGATGAAACTAGAAACTTGTCAGTTTCTCAGAGGAGGTCTGGGGGTATGGTGAGTTATGCAGTGGGCTGCCAACCACACGTTCAGCAGTTCAAGACCACAAGCTGCTTCCTGGGAGAAAGATGAGCTTTCTACGCCTGTAAAAAGTTAGTCTTCGCAGCTCAGAGGGATAGTCCTCCTCCACCTGCAGGGTCGCTGGGGGCCGGAGTTGACTTGATGCCATTTAGTTTGGCTTTAGTTGTTTTGTTTGGTTTTCCTCAGTTAGTTGCTCTGCTCTTTTATCGAGGGCTCTTTGGGGCTTGGTTTTTTACAGGACTGGCTTGGTAGTAGCTCCCTGCCAGTGCATGTTCTTTTGTAGCCCTGTCGTTTCTTTAAGTATCAGTTGTAAGACAAGTCAAACTGTTTCCCACTGAAGGAATTTTGATTTAACATAAACTCGCCTTGTACGAAGATCAAGATAAACCTCTTGAAAGCCCCAGAAGTGATGGTTTGCCGTAGATGGGAACTCTTCCAGTTAAAAATCAGAATTAACTCATTAAGTAGGAGCCAGCCTGAGGACAATTTGAGTCTTGGTAAAACACATATTTTTTTACATTTAAAATATCTTCCTGGCCCTCAAATTCTTACATGGAGCATTTATTCTTGTGATAGATCTTAATTGTTTAAATAAAATTCAACATTGCCATTTTCTTTTAAACAAACAAACAAACAAAAAAACCCAGAAATCTGTCTCATTCATTTAGGATTCTATAGCACTAATGGTATCTGTTTTATTATCAGCAGGCACTGCTGTTTGGTCCAGAAATGGAGGGCAGGCCTCGTCATCTCCTAATTACGAAGGACCCTTACACTCTTTGGTATGTCCCATCGGCTCTTTCTCCCCGCTTTCTGGGTCATGTGTTTATTTTCCCATCTTATCCTCTGCCTAGAATGCTGACTTCCCCTACTAACTAACCTTAGGTTCATGGTAGCCCCACAAGTTGGGGAGGAAGGGACCAGAATTATTAGGCCCTGGTTGTATCCTACCAGTGCTCACAGGGGTGACCCTGTGTCTGATACTCTAGTGTGTTTGAGTTCATTCTGGGCATAATGCGCCTACTAGCACACTGCTCTGTGCAGTTTTTACTTCATGAGCCCTGGTGGCCTCCGAGGTATACGCTGGGCTGCAGTTTGAAACCACCGGCCCCCCTGAGGGAGGCTTTCTACTCCCACCAGGAGTTACCGTCTTGGAGACCCGCAGGGGCAGTTCTACCCTGTCCTCATGAAGGACACCACAAGTCAGAACCGGCTCGATACCAGTGACTTCGGTTTGGGCTGACGACTTGTCCTTAGCTGTGCTATGTGCCATAGGAGAAACCAAGGAAATACATTTTTCAAGAAGGTATTTTAATCAGGGGACTATGAATAGGCTATATGTGCATTGTTAACCTTTAGGATTATTTAACCATTGCCTGCCAGGCTATTCTGTCAATTTGATTATTGTTTGCTTTTCCTAAAGTAAACCTGAGTTCTCTTTGCAGCTAGTCCAACAGAGTAGACAGCATAGGTATATTATGACAACCTGGAAGAATTAGAGAATTCACTGTACTTTGAAAAATAATGTAATTAATAGCATTAGCGTTTTTCCCTAGTTTTCTAGAAATTTTACTGTTAATTTTTATTACTTTGCCATGGAAATAAACAACCTGTGGTTCTTGTCCATTAAGATTTTATTTCTAGAACTTGTGAGTACTTTTCAAATTGAATAAAAACTTCCCATTATTCATTAACCAACAGCAAAGCCGAATCGAAGATCGTTTAGAAAGGCTGGATGATGCTATCCATGTTCTCCGGAATCATGCTGTGGGCCCATCCACAGCTATGCCTGGTGGTCACGGAGACATGCATGGGATCATCGGGCCTTCTCATAATGGAGCCATGGGTGGACTGGGCTCAGGGTATGGAACCGGTCTTCTATCAGCCAACAGACATTCACTCATGGTAAGTGAGGAGATTTATAGATTCTGTAGACAGCATGTCGAATTAGGATTTTAGGAATAATAACTTACAAAATCTCTGTTTTTTAAATAGCATCTTGAGATATAGCTCGCATAACTTTGCACTCCATTCATGAAAATTGTACGATTCAGTGTTTTCTAAGTCTCTGTATAAGGTTATGCAACCATTACTGCAACCTAACTCTTTAGAACTTTTTTACCTCCCTCCTCAAAACAACTCGTTGCCATTCACTGTCCCAACTGCCCAGCCCCTGTTTACACACACACACACACACACACACACACACACACACACACCCCTCAGTCCTGGGCTTGTTTGCTTCTACTGTTTGTATTTATCTGAATTACTTGTTCTGGAGTCACTCGTTTGTATTTGTGATCGGCTTCTTTCAGTGGTTTCAGAGTTTGGGCCTATGTTCTACCAAATCCCAAAGCTTCTTTCCTTTTCACCATCAAATAGCCCATGCTTGTATGACTAACCCACATTGCTGATCCATTCCGCGGGTGATAGATAGATGAAAAGGCTCCACTGATGGTCTCTTAGGAGCAAAGCTGATAGGCACCTTCAAGTCTATGCCTTTGTGAGAACACGGGCCTCGCTGCCCTTGGGTCCATGCCTGGGAGTTGGACTGCTGGAGTTTTAAATGAGTCACCCTGCTAACTTCTGCTCCGAGACTCAGATGAAGTTCCTGTCACCTTGTTGGCATCTCAGACAGGAATGGTTGCAGGTTGTTTCTTCTATGGAAGCACGGCCGGTGTCTTTGGATGCTGAATATGGGCGGGAGAAGGATGCATTTTGTGTTAGGAATAAGTGCCTATTAAATAATAGGTAAGCCATTTTGTCGGTATTTCTATGGGGACTTAACGTTTTCCTCTGTACTTTTGGAAAACAACATCCTTTTTTAAAGAAAAAATGATAGTGAAGATTCAGATAATCTGCTTGACAGAATACGATGGAGTGATCACATGGTGAGAAATTTAACATTAGCAATTTACTGAATAGCATGGGGAGTGATTCCGCCTATAGCTTTTTAAAACACTTCTGCCTTGTCAGCAAACACCTGATTATCCTGTTTTGTATCATACGTTTGTTGTTAGGGGCTGTTGAGTTTATTTTTCACTTAGTTACAATCTCAGAAACCCACAGGGCATGTTCTACCCTCACCTAGAGGGGCACTCTGAGTCAGCATTGGCATCCGTCGTGAGTGACCCCAGCTGATGGAGGAGAACTGTGCCGTGGGGTTTACTTGGCTGTAATCCTCATTGAAGCTGATCTCCGGGTCTTTTCCTGTTGTCTCTGGGTGGATCCAAACTGCCAGCCCCTGGATTCACAGCCGAGTGCTAATCACTGCGTCCCCAGTGCTCCTTTTACTTCTTAAAAGAGGAAAAAGCAAAAAAAAAAAAAAAAACCCAAAATCTGCCACTGAGTCACTTGCAACTCCAAAGACCCCAGAGGACAGGGTAGAACTTTCCCTGTGGGTTTCTGAGACCATAATTCTTTCTGGGAGTAGAAAACCTTGTCTTTCTCCCACAAAGAAGCTGTTGGTTTTCAAACTACTGACATTCCAGTTAGCACCCCAATGAGGAACCAGTCACTACACCACCAGGGCTCCTTAAAAAGTTGCCTGGATGAAGGTCTATTGGCCATCATCGCTGAAGACTCTCTTGCTTAAAGATGGTTCTAGAAGGAGCACATAGAATAAGCACGCATTATCGTACTCTCCTGTCCTCTTAATGTCTCCTCATGAAAGACTGAGAATAAGAGGTTCATTCCAAGTGGTATATTCCTGAGACCCACAACAAATTTGAAACCAAAAATACTGGTTGCTAAAAATAGAAGCAATGAACTCATTCCTTAACTGTGGAAAAATCATTTTGAATACCAAAGCTGAATCTATTCTTCCTTCTTTTTCCTTTCCCTTGACCTGGACCCTTAAAAACTCATCATCGAGTAAAACGGTTTCTCTGTCCAAGGCAGTTGCTAAGAGTTGACAAAAGAAAAATCTCTATTTTAATTTTGCTTGGCCTCAGGTAACATAGCGGATACACTTGGGATGCGTATAATATGAGATTACAGTTTGTACAGGGCTTTCTTTGCTTTGTGCTTTTTAAACGACAGTGTTTAAACAACACTGCTTTTAATTAAGAAATCTGGCTTTATGAAAAGCCAGATCTGTGACTTATAACCGTTTCTGTATATCTGCTCTCAATCAAGAGAGAAATCGTTTAATTTCTGTAACTGTGTTTATTTTGCATATGTTAAACGATGCAACAGTCTCCTAGGACATCACTTCAGAGGCAGTTTTTTGGGTTCCCCCCCCATAAATATGTAAAGTTTGCTCTTAAGTACCAGATGTGTAGGTTACGTGGGCCTCTAAAATATTAAACTATACATAGATGCTTTTTGGAAGGCTTTGACCTTTGCGTTGCCTTCTCCTTGCGTGTGATTCAGAGCCTGGTGTGAGGAGGTCAGGCACTCTGGCCCAGGTAGAAAAAACCTGCAGGAGCAAAAGGAGGGAGGGAACCACATGATGACAGAGGAACACCATTGACGGGATTTGGGCGAGGGGGCGCCGCTCTGCAGTGATAACAGCTGCTCAATTTGCTCCTGAAGAAAAGTTCCTGATAAATGGATCTAGAACGTTTTCGGCCTAGAGCCTAGCAGACAATAGTGCAACACCCCCAGCTGTGGCCTGTTGACCACCGTCTGGTCTGCTTCCACCCCCCACACCCCCAGTGAGTTCCTGCCCTTGTCATCCTTTGCCCTGAACCACCCCCCACGCCCCCCCAGCCCCTCCGCTCCAGTGAACCTGCAGAATCTCATCTTCCCCATCTGTCCCTCTCCCGTGTGCCAAAGAGATCAACCAGCTTGTCTTTCCATCCTGCACAGGGGCATGAATTTTTACAACAAAAAGCGTGAGAACAAAGGAAATAGTTTTTGCATTCAGTCATTCTGAAGTTAGCCTTTGACCATTTGATACATTCCACTATAAAAAGGAAGTTGAGGTGGGGGGGAGAAAAGGAAAAGGGGTGGAGGGGAAATCCCACCTCCCTCCCCACCCCCCCTTTCCCCTCACGACAAAAAAATTCAAGGAGGATACTGGTAATGTTTTCCACATTTGAATTTTAATACATGAAGCAGCCTGTGAACTGAGGGCCAGCTGCAGTGAATAAAGTAGCAGTGGGAGGTATGCCCTGGAAATGCAGGCGGCCCAGCACCCTGGGGCGGGAGGGGGTGGGGGCAGGAGGCACGCACCTTTCCTGACTGCACACCTTGCCCAATCGGGCTGGACTTGGAAGCAAGTGGCTGGAACTTGAGAGGCCTCCCTGGGCTGGCGTTGGCCTTCGCCCAGCACCTTGGACCGCTCTGTACTCAGTTCTTCTGATTAAAGAAGGGAGCGCTTGGGAGGCCCCTTGGCCTCTGTCATCTTCTCGCTTCCTCCCTCCCCTGCCTCCCAGAAACGGAACCAAGAGGCTGGATGACTGGGAAGAGGAGGCGAGCCGTTCCTGCTGCTGCAGCTGCCCCAACGTGTGGTGGGGAAAGCGCAGCGGTTCTGCCTCAGCTATTACGTTATCTCCTTTAATTGCTACCATATTGTAGTGAGCTTTCGATTCATAAAATGTTTTCCTTGGAGTTCTGAAGCCGGTCTTCAGTGATTTACCAAGTATTAGTGTAATGAAAGGGATTTTTTTCACAGCAGCACGGTTCATAACACTAGAGCGAACGTTGTATACTTGCGGGCTTTCTGGCTTATGTGATTTGGCCTTGCTTCTTTCCTGCTCCCAAACCTTCACCGCCTTTCCAAGCCCAGGAACTCAGCCAAAGACCCGTGACCATCACCAGCACCTTTTTTTTTTTTGATTCCCATAGGTGACCAGGCTGGGCATGTTACCAGAACTGACCCTGTGTGCTAGCGCTACTCTTGTGGTTACCTGCCTCGACTGCCCTCCTCTCTCCAGCCTCCAAAGCAGTGGTTCTCAACCTGTGGGTCACGACCCCTTTGGGGGTCGAACAACCCTTTCACAGGGGTCACCCAATTCATTACAGTAGCAACATGAGAGTGATGAAGTAGCAGTGAAAATAATTTTGTGGTTGGGGGGTCACCGTCACATGAGGACCTGTCTGCAAGGGTCGGGGCATTGGGAAGGTTGAGAACCACCCCTCCAAATCCTACCCATCCTCAGAGCGCTGACTCCCCACCTGCCTCTGCCAGGAGGCCTTCCCCAGTTGTTCCCCTGGAACAATCATGCTCATCTCCCGGCACTTAAGTCAGAAACTAGTTACCCACTGGTCCTTGGAGACCCCCAGAAGGTCTGACAACTGTACTCCCTAAGATTTGGGGTGGGTGATTTTTCAGAAATAGATGTTCTGGGCTTTTCTCCCGAGATGCCTCTGGCTAGGCTTAAATCAGCATCCAGGTATTCACACGGCCCAAGGACTTCCCTGGAGCCTTGTCCCTCACTCTGTGTGTCTCTGTCATGCCTGGCATGCGGTCTCCCCTGCCACCTCTTGTAGATTTCCTGAGTGCCCGGCACCATGGTTTGTGTCCCTCTCAGAAGGTTGAAGGTTGAAAGACAAGAAAGGAAACTAGCGTTTGCTCGGTGTCCTACAAATGGCAGCCCGTCTGCTGGATACACACTGTGCATGGTTGTTGGCAGGCTTCACCTGAGCCCAGGTGTGAGTAAACTGAAGCTTAAGGGAACTGGCATTCAATTTCAAGGCAGGTAGCTAACCTAAGTTTGGGGACCTTCACCCCAGATCCCATGTTCTTTTTGACTCCTCAATCTTATTTCCCCTACAAGCTTCTCCAAAGGTGTGCTTTTTTAAGAGTCAAATGATAGGAGCCTGTGATTTTTTTCAAATCTTGATCAACGCTGATTGGGGAAGGAAGCAGCTTTCTTTCCAAAGGTAAGGAAACCTGCCCTCCCATCTAGTATTGCGTTTGGACTAAGACGCCCATCCTCTGCTCGTTTACACTGAAT